ACGGGGAGAAGATGCCACAGGGGAGATGCCACGGGAGGGAAGATGCCACGGGGGGAAGATGCCACGGGGGAGAAGATGCCACAGGGGGAAGATGCCACAGGGGAGATGCCATGGGGGGAAGATGCCACAGGGGGAAGAGGCCACGGGGGAGAAGATGCCACAGGGGGGAAGATGCCACGGGGGGGAAGATGCCACTGAGGAGCTCCAAAGACAGTACCCACAGGGAGACAGCCCTGTCTTGACCCACGATCTCCCCACTGGCTAGACGCACCTCTGAGGCTCTGGGGGATGGGACGTGGGGGCCGGGCGCTCTGACAGCCCGTTCCAGGGGAGCTGTGGCAGGGGCTTATTCAGTGACGTGTGGGCTGTGCAGGTGGAGAGGAGGCCCGAGCCTCCCTCCTTGCTGCCACGCGGAGGTGTAGGGGCTTCTGAGCAGCACTGGGAGCAGAAGAGCAGCAGGGCAGGGGTGTGGCCCGCTGTGGAAGGTTCAGTGGCCTTCGACCATCCTGGCTGCGCCTGCGCTGGCCTCAGCCCTGCCGAGCAAGGGCAGACCAGGAAACACAGGCTCATTCGGCCCAGTGCTCGGGCACACCACTGTTACCGGGCCCAGGCGCAAGCCAACCTGCTGTCCTCTGGTCTGTGACATGGGACCAGCAGGCCTGTGGGCCTGGCCTGTGCAGGGGTCCTGGGATGCTTCCCACGGGTGCCTCCAATCTCCCGAGGCTCCCCTCTGCTGCCACCATGCCGCCATGCTGGCCCTCACAGGAGAAATGCCTGTGCTCCGGGACGGGACTTTGAGGCCCTCACCCGATCTGGCCAGGAATGCCCTGGAAGGTGTGGGCCGGGCTGGGGTGGCCATCTTCCAAGCAGAGGCAGGGTGCTGGGCACAGGCAGGAGGAGGCGCTCATGGGTCCTGCTCAGACCACTAACAGGACCAGCCCGTCTGGAAGCCGGCCTATCCTGTGGGGTTCCGGCGGCCCCACCTGACCCTGTCCCTTCTGGGCATGCAGACCGGGCCTGGGCCGGGTCCTGGCGGCCAGCATGCGGGGGCGGGGTTCCCTGGGTCAGCCTCAGACCCCTGACTTGGGCCTCTCCCCCACTCCTCGCCCTAAGTGGCTGTAGTGTTAGCTGCTGTTCTGCCCTCGGCCCTCCTCTCTGCCGTCTTCCCAGGCCCTGAGCTCAGGTTCCTGCTCCAGTGACGGCCTGTGTGTGATGCCCTGTGCCTGGCTGGGGCCAGGCCGGCAGCCAGGGGGGCTGGTGTGCGGGCCACAGCCCCTCCCGATAACGGAGGGGGCAGGCGGGAGGCACAGCCCCACCTCACAGCAGTGTGGGGTCCCCCCTGCCACGGCACTAGGTGTCCCCAGAGCCCAAGAGAACCATCTGTGAGTGAATGCCGGGGCCATGCCTCCTGGGGGGGTTCTGCATGGCCTCTCTGTCAGCAAGCCTCTGCACCCAGCCCTCTGTGGGCCGCGCGTGCCTGGCACAGGGCAGGCGGCGGACAGCGGCTCCGGCTCAGAGCCAACTCGACCTCAGCCCCATCCTCTTGTGGGTCTGTCCTGCCCCTGCCCAGGATGGGCTCTGGGCTGCGGGTGCCCCACCCTGGAGATTCGGGGCCTTGGTCCAGGGGCTGCATTCTCCTCCAGCTGCAGGCCCGGCTGCAGACCACTGAGGCCCAGCTGCGCAGATCTGAGCTGGAGCACAGCGTGGACCTGGAGGAGGCCCTCGACCGCCTGGAGGCCTCGGAGCAGAGGTGAGACGCGTGGGCAGCTGGGCAGGTGGCCGCTGCCCCAGACGCCGCAGGCCCCACCGCCTGGAGCTGCCGGCCAGCAGCTTCTGATGGTCCTGGGTTACCTTTGCCTGAGAGAGGTAGTGCAGAAGGGTCTAGAACGAGAGGCCACGGGGCCTCTCCCCAAGTCACGTCCAGGGCCAAGGCCAAGCGAGAAAGGAGGGGACACCAAAGTCTGCTTCTGCAGAGTGCTGCTCAGCCTGATGGCAGACCACACCCCTCCCCGCGTCCAGACCCCGAGACAAACTCGAGGGGACTCCCCTCCCCACTCCAGACCCCGAGGTGGACACACGGGGACTCCCCTCCCCACATCCAGACCCCGAGACGGGCATGCGGGGACTCCCCTCCCCACGTCCAGACCCCGAGGTGGACACGCAGGGACTCCCCTCCCTATGTCCAGACCCCGAGACGGGCATGCGGGGACTCCCCTCCCCACGTCCAGACTTGCATTCACCACTTAGAGCTGTGCCTGCAATGCCCGGCTCAGCCCTGAATGCAAAGGGAGAGGTCCACCCACAGCTGCGGTCACACGGCGTGGCCCCCTGTCTCCCTGTCCACGTCCCTTCCCGCATGCTCTTAGGCCCTGGAAAGGGTTGCTGTCCACACCCCTCAGCCCACGTCCGCTCGGGCTCTGCCAATTCTCCCCCAGGGCTGTGGGGGTTTGGACCCATGGGCAGCCCCAAAACAGGGGGGACCCCCGGCCACCCTGGCCCCGTCCCCTAGGCCCACTTCCCACAGCGGGTCCATGCTCAGGGAAGACCCTCACATTTTCCCCAGGCTGGCCTCGAATTATAGTCCTCCCCATCTCTGGCTCCCAAGTTACCCCTGATCTACCTCGAAAACCCGTTTCGAAGGGAAGCAATAGCCCACATGGAGGCCGGTGCCGGTGAAGCAGGACCAGGTGTCCAGCTGATGGCAAGATGGGCATCTGTGTCCCCGCTGCGAGGGGCCCGGCAGGCCAGAGCACCTGCAGACCAGCCGCGAGGGCCTCGCCCCCTGCCCCACGCAGGGGCAGCAGTCTTCCCTCCTGGGGACAGAGGGGGAGCAGAGGTGTGAGAGAGTGAGAAGGGGAGGAGGGAGAGCAGGGGGGAGGAGAGCCCCGCCCCCAGGCTCCGTCTGCACCCACGGGGCAGAGCTGGGCTGTGCACTTGAGCTGGGCATGGGGCTCGGAGCCCCTTGATTGGGGGCCTGGGACCGCCACTGCCTAAGAGGAAGCCACGACCAAGCACAGGCAGCCGCGGTTCTGTCCCTAGGAGCAGGGGCCTCTCCCAGGTGAACGCCCTCCTGCGAGGACAGCTGGAGCACTTGCGGAAGGCGAACGAGGCGCTGACGCGGGAGCTGGCCACGGTGACGGCCACGGCCACGGTGAAGGGCCGCCGCAGGGCCGGCGGGAGTGGGCGGGGCTCAGCACCGGGGCCAGAGAGAGGTGCCCCTCACCCCCACCCTGGCCACTGCTTTGGCCCGTGGTGGGTGGCAGCAGGGGCCGGGAGGGGGTGAGACGGCGTCAAGCCTGTCCCAGGGCGGGCGGGGCCTGGTCCTCCCTTCTGGGTGGCCCCAGCAGCCTGTGAGGTGAGGAGCACTTCAGCCCTCTGCCCTCTCTGAGAATCAGTGAGCTGGGGCCAGTCCCGGCTCCGGGGGGGACCACCCTGTGGCTGCCGGTCAAGCTGCAGGAAGGGGCCCTCAAAAGGGCCTGCGTGGCTTACGAGTTCCACGTCCAGGAAGTTCCGATAGCCGCTGTTTTCTTTGTTTCTGCTCAAGCCTCGTACTGCCTTGTGCCCTTGGGACTTTAGAGGGTTTTGGTTTTGTTTTGTTTTGTTTTTTTCAACAGAGATGTTTGTTTTCCTTGGGACTGGGTGGAAAATCTTTGAAATTTGAGACTAACACGCTGTTTTCCAGAAAGGACTTTCATTTGCCTCTGCGGGGTTCCCGGGCCCCAGGAACTGGGGCCGCACGGCAGTGCGCTTTCACCCCGAGTGTTTTTAAGAACACCCAGGTTGTGTGCACCCAGGCTGCAAACTGTCTAACTTGGGGCTCCAAAGCCATTGGGAAGATTTTCTTCCTCTGTTCAATTCTCGACATTGCACAGGCAGTTTTTTTACCTGCAGGAAGGTGTGTGTGTTGTGTGTAGAGTGTAGCATATGGGCCTCTGAGTGCCTGAAAGTAGTGTGTGTGCTTATAGGAGAGTGTGGACATGTCACTCTGTGTGTGAGTGTATCTGTGTGTGTGAGAGAGTGTGGCATTACGCAAGCCCCTTCCAGCCTCATAGAGCTGGCTCAGCACCTGCACCTGGAATGGGGGCGGGGGGGGGCAGAAGGGAAAACTGGCCTAAAAGTGGACACAGGTGTCTTGTGCTCAGACTCTGCAGATGGGCCGGCAGGAGCCCAGGGGCATCCTCCTGCTCTGGAGACAGGCCACAGCAATCCGCACACACCTGGCCGAGCTGCGGGCAGCCACTGAGAGGTGAGCCCTGTGCCCATCTGAGAGCCCCTGAGCCCAGGGCAAGAAGGCCCCCCTCCTGCAGCACTGGTCCTGTCTGGTCTGGGGCTGTCTGGTCTGAGGCTGTCTGGGCTGGTCCTGTCTGGTCCTGTCTGGTCTGAAGCTGTCTGATCTGGGACTGTCTGGTCTGGTCTGGGGCTGTCTGGGCTGGTGCTGTCTGGTCTGGGGCTGTCTGGTCGTGTGCTGTCTGGTCTGGTCTGGGGCTATCTGGTCGTGTGCTGTCTGGTCTGGGGCTGTCTCATCTGGTCCTGCCTAGTCTGGGGCTGTCTGGTGCTGTCTGGTCTGGGGCTATCTGGTCTGGGGCTGTCTGGTCTGGTGCTGTCCTATCTGGGCTAGTCCTGTCTGGTCTGGGGCTGTCTAGACTGGGCTGTCTGTCTGGACTGGGCCGTCTGGACTGGGCTGTCTGGACTGGGCTGTCTGGACTGGGCTGTCTGGTCTGGGGCTGTCTGGGCTGGTGCTATCTGGTCTGGGGCTGTCTAGACTGGGCTGTCTGGACTGGGCTGTCTGGACTGGGCTGTCTGGACTGGGCTGTCTGGTCTGAGGCTGTCTGGACTGGGCTGTCTGGTCTGGGGCTGTCTGGACTGGGCTGTCTGGACTGGGCTGTCTGGACTGGGCTGTCTGGGCTAGAGCTGTCTAGGCTGGGGCTGTCTGGTCTGAGGCTATCTGGGCTGGAGCTGTCTGGTCTGGAGCTGTCTGGTCTGGTCTGGGGCTGTCTGGTCTGGTCTGAGGCTGTCTGATCTGAGGCTGTCTGGTCTGAGGCTGTCTGGTCTGGAGCTGTCTGGTCTGGGGCTGTCTGGACTGGGCTGTCTGGTCTGAGGCTGTCTGGTCTGGGGCTGTCTGGGCTGCGGCTGAGCTGTGGAAGGGTGGCCAATGGAGGAGAACCAACAGACAGAGATGGGAGAGAAACGTGGGGAATCAGTATTGGAATCAGCATGAGACGGTGGGCACTCACCTGGCCCGGAGCAGGAGCCTTCCCAAACACCTGGCCGCACGCTGCCCTGCCCCACACTGCCCTGCTCCACGCTGCCCTGCTCCAC